TTATCCTCTCAGAAACTCAACCCCATTATAACACTGGAAACAGAGCTTGTTAGCTGACATCCAAAAACTCACCCATGAATTTGGACACTTGGCAATTGGCATATATTTCAATCAGAATAGAGCTAGAAGAGACCTTGGAGGTCTTCTAGTCCAACCCCCTGCTCAAGCAGGAGACCTTATCCCATTCCAGACAAGTGGCTGTCCAGTCTCTCCTTAAAAGCTTCCACTGAGGGAGCGCTCACAACTTCTGGAGGCAAGCCATTCCACTGGTTAATTGTTCTCACCGTTAGGAAGTTTCTCCTTAGTTCCAGATTGCTTCTCTCCTTAGTNTATTTATTTATTAATTGTATTTATATCCCGCCCTTCTCCTTTCGGACTCAGGGCGGCTGACAAATGATAAAAAGCTAACATATTACACCTAGTTAAAATTTAATTAAAATGAAATATTTGAGAATGTCAAATTTAAAAGTAATTAAAACCCCTATAAAATCCCCTAGGCCAGTCCCGCTTGCTGGAACAACCACGTCTTTTATGACTTGTAGACTTCAACTCCCAGAATTCCTGAGCCAGCATGGCTCAGTTGGAAACCTCTCCCTTTCCCCTCAGCATGGCTGGCTCAGGAATTCTGGGAGTTGAAGTCCACGAGTCATAAAAGAGCCAAGGTTGCCTACCCCTGGTCTAGTGGCTAAAGCATTTAGGCTAGAAACCAGGAGACTATGAGTTCAAGTCCCGCCTTAGCCATGAAAGTGGGCTGGGTGACTTTGAGCCAGTCACTCTATCTCAGCCCAACCCACCTCACAGGGTTGTCGCTGTAGGGAAAATAGAAGGAGGGAAGAATATGAGGTATGTTCACTGTCTTCAGTGAACATAAAGATAGGACACACAAAAAATATAAAAATAAAATTGTTTATAAGCCTTAACAAAGGAAACAATTTTCCCCCTTCTCTTACTATTTGAATTATACTGAAAATCAAAAATAGACAAAATGTTATCTTAGTAAACAAACCAACCTATACTTTAAGCGCATGTGTTGACTTATCTCTTCAAGACATTTCATATTCAGTGCCATTCACAAGTCAGCCCATCCTTAATTTTCCATTACAAAAAAAAGACATGAAGAAAAGAGAGAAATACACCGTATTTCAATTTCAAGAACTATTTAAGGGGAAAAAAATAGCAGGAAGAACTATTTTGTCCCAGAGTGGTCCATTAAACACACGGGATTTGCCACAGAAATGTGTTCAGTGTGCTGTCAAACATTGGCAGTAATGAGGGGGGTCTGTTATTTCTCCAGGAGGGCTGAGCTTTGCCACTGGTTCCCTCCAAAGATTACATGCCTCATTAATTCAATGTCAGTGTTTCTCAACCTTGACAATTTTAAGGCATGTGGACTTCAACTCCCAGAATTCCACATGCCTTAAAACTGTCAAGGTTGAGAAACACTGCGCATAGATTGTTCCTCTGCATCTGCCTATTGGTCTCAGAACTTCCCTTTGTTGGGTTTTCAACTTTTCTGGGGGTGGGGTGGGGTGTTTTGCATATTAGTTCCCTTCTGATCTTGTAGTGTATTGAAGTTTTCTCATCATTGGGGTGGAAGCGGCCTTTCCATAATGGGATGTGGGAAAGACCTTGGGAGGCAGGCTGAAGAGACATTGCCTAAGGAAGGGCCCCCCAACCTTTTGGGCACCAGGGACCAGTTCCCTGGAGAGATATTTGTTCCGGGGACTTTGCTTGTTTGCATGGACTGGTTTCTGGCATGCCACGGACTGATGCCAGTCCACATACCGTGGATTGGGGACACCTGGCCTAGGGAATGGTCAGATAAGAGATAGAATAGTTCACAGCTGCATGGTAGGCAGAGCAAGAGACTCGGGACACTCCCTAAGTCCGGGGTGGCGAACCTATGGCATGCGTGCCAGAGGTGGCACGCAGAGCCCTCCCTGTGGGCACACGCACCGTTGCCCCAGTCCTAGGCCTTCAGCTGGGTTTTATAAAACCTTTTCGCTTTAGGCCTCCACCGCCATGTGCAAAAAAAAAGGTTCAATCAATCAATTTCAACACGCGGGGGGAAAAAAGATCTCGCAAAGTTGGAATTGATTGACTGAATTTTTGAGTCCCACCCAGTCTGCCGTTACCACCGCAGCCACGCCCACCCAATTGGCCACACCCACCCAATGGGCCACATCCACCCAATGGGCCATGCCCACCCGGCACCCGATGTTACATAAGTGGGTTTTGGGTTGCAGTTTGAGCACTCGGTCTCTAAAAGGTTCACCATCGCTGCCCTAAGTTCTCAGACTATAAAGATGACAGCAGCAGAACTGTACTTTCAGAGTTGCAAGATTCTGTTAATGCAGCTTTACAATAAAGTAAAATTAGTTTCAAGATCCAATCTGAGGCGGTCACCGGGACCAGAGATTTAGCCTTCCGAGCTTTCAGACTTGTGCTGGAGCCCACCTAGAATTAATTTATCTGATTGTGATTCCTGTCTGGTCAACCTCGTAAAGTTGACTCCTTCCTTAAAAGCAGACTTACAATCTTTTCATAAAATCTAATTAATTACAAATAGTCCTCGACTTACAACAGTTTGTTTAGTGACCATTCAAAGTGACAAGGGCCCTGAAAGGAGTGACCTATGACCGTTTGTCACATTTCACGACCGCTGTGGCATCCCCAGGGTCAGGTGATCAAAATTCCGACGCTTGGCAACTGACTCATATTTATATCGGTTGCCATGTCCCGGGGGTCGTGTGATCCCCTTTGGCAACCTTCTGACAAGCAAAAGCAATGGGGAAGCCGGATTCACTCAACAACCATGTTACCCGCTTAACAACTGCAGTGATTCACTTAACTGTGGCAAGAAAGATTCTTAAAATGAGGCAAAATTCATCAACAACTGACTCACTTAGCAACAGACATTTTGGGCTCAATTGTGGTCCTTAGCCGAGGACTTCCCATAATTAATCAACCACTCCAGGGGTGGAATCACCCAAACTGAAAACAGAAGAGATGGAGAATTTATCCTCTCAGAAACTCAACTCCATTATAACACTGGAAACAGAGCTTGTTAGCTGACATCCAAAAACTCACCCATGAATTTGGACACTTGGCAATTGGCATATATTTCAATCAGAATAGAGCTGGAAGGGACCTTGGAGGTCTTCTAGTCCAACCCCCTGCTCAAGCAGGAGACCTTATCCCATTCCAGACAAGTGGCTGTCCAGTCTCTCCTTAAAAGCTTCCACTGAGGGAGCGCTCACAACTTCTGGAGGCAAGCCATTCCACTGGTTAATTGTTCTCACCGTTAGGAAGTTTCTCCTTAGTTCCAGATTGCTTCTCTCCTTAGTTAGTTTCCATCCATAGTTAGTTTCCATTCCATCCCTGAGCTACAAATATTTTTCCAAAGTCTCAACATCTTTTCTGTAATGTAATACAGTGACCTAAACTGGATGCAAAATCCCATGTGTGGTCTTACTAAGGATTTATAAAGTGGAACTAATACTTCACGTGATTTTGATTCTATGCCTTTGTTTATACAACCAAGGATTGCATTAGCTTTTTTGACTGTTGCCGCACACGGCTGGCTCAATGTTTAAGTGATCATCCACTAGGACAGAGGTAGGCAACCTCAGCTCCTTTATGACTCATGGACTTCAGCTCCCAGAATTCCTGAGTCAGCATAGCATAGCTGACTCAGGAATTCTGGGAGTTGAAGTCCATGAGTCATAAAAGAGCCGAGGTTGCCTACCCCTGCACTAGGACTCCAAAGTCCCTCTCACAGTTAGTGTTTTTGAGCCAGGTTTCGCCTAATCTGTACTTGTACCTTTGGGTTTTCCTGTCTAGGTATAAAATTTGCTTTTTTCCATATTAAATTTCATGTTGTTGGATAGGGCCCATTGTTCAAGTCTTTTTGAATCCTGATCTTTCTTCTGGGGTGTTGGCTATTCCTGCCAGCTTAGTGTCATCTACAAATCTGATGAGTTCTCTTTCTATTCCCTCACCTAAGTCATTTATGAAGATGTTGAAGAGTACTGGGCCTAAGACAGAACCTTGTGGCATCCCCATTGCTTCCTTCCTTCCATGCAGATGTAGTACCATTAAGGATTACTCATTGAGTACGGTTGGTCAGCCAGTTGCAAATCCATCTGATGGTGATGTTGTCTATCTCACATTTTTCTAGTTTACCAAGAAGGACACACAATTGCCATTTGGGACTTTCTAAAAACTTCTGATAAGCAAAATCAATGGGGGAAGCTGGATTCTTAACCACTGCAAAAAAGATCAATAAATCAGGCACAACTTACTTAATGACTGTATCACTAAGTAATAGAAGGTCTGGTCCCAAATGTGGTTAGAAGTTGAGAACTACTACACACACACACACACACACACACACACACAAACAAACAAACACAAACATCTATGGGTGTCTATCAACCAGAAGATATGGTGAAGCATCATCAAAAATATAGCTGTGCTAATAAAATCAGAACAAAAATAGAATAATGAATGTGTGACACTTGTGGAAACAAAAAAATGTATCCCTAAAATGTTAATATAGAACTAGCTCAATTCTGTAACATATTATTAAAGCTATCCATATAGACCAGGGGTAGTCAACCTTGGCTCTTTTATGACTCGTGGACTTCAACTCCCAGAATTCCCAGCACAGCTGGCTCAGGAATTCTGGGAGTTGAAGTCCCCGAGTCATAAAAGAGCCAAGGTTGACGACCCCTGATATAGATCATCTATTGCTCCATCTTCTCAGTTTTAATACAATGTTATTCCGATGCAACCATATTTATACACTAGATTACCTAATATTCTATGATACGATTGCCTTAGAGTATTAAGCGTAAATAAGAGAAAGGGAGAAAAAAAAAAGGATATCCCATCAATATTAATTACAATTTCAAACCTTAACTCTTCCAACAGTCTTCTGGGAAGGAGAGGACTTAAGTATTTGCTTTGAAGATTTGAAAGGTACCGATGAGGCGTACCTGTATATTGACACGTTTTCAATTGATTCATTCGTTATGCTGTCACTGAGAACAATCCCTCTGGGTGATACTTTCAGAGTCACTTTTCGGAGTTTTTTCCCACCAGCCTTTGCCTTGGAACAGAGGAAAAGAATGCATTCAGATGTTGCCACAAAGATAAATCAACTGAAAATCTTACTGTCGGGCCCCTCAAACCAAGAAAGACACTCTTTTAAGCAGTTTTTTTAAAATTGTTCTTCACCTATAGACAGAAATATTGCCAAAGCAAAGCAAACTACTTGCATCCTTAAAGAAATACTCGGAGTAACCCTGAAAATCTTTCCTCCCTATAAATTCTCCTGACTATCAAGGGCATTAGGTAGGACCAAACTTACAACCTTCATCTTTATTTGACAGAGAACAAGGTTAGGTGAACTTTCAAGCCAGACTTTAAACCCCTTCTATAATCTATCACCATTTTACTAAGGTCTGCTCCTCTAAAATTGCAACCGTTTTATGAGTGACATTCTATTTCATGAAGTGAATTCTGGTGGGCTTTTCAGTGCTAGCTAAGCATGTTTCCACCTAGCGTTCTTCAACTTCGCTTTGACAAGCACACGACAATGAGGTATTCACAAGTGGAACACACAACTAAATGTTGCAGCATGGAAGAGCCGGTGTTCTTCTGACATTCCGTTGCATTCTTCTCTCATTTCTTGGCACCCCCTTTTAACTCTTACGGGTTGTGTTCACGCTGCATCCTTAATAGCTCAAGCAAAAATCTACAAACACACTTCCAGAACATGCTAAGCTTGATTAGTTTTTTAAAATCCTAGTTAGGTCTGTTTGTGGCTTAGTGGATTATGTAATCCAGCCTGTGCAATTACATCACTCTGTGTTGCGCAACCCCAGAAAAAGCCTGTTAATTCAGTAACTAGGTTAAGTGAGTGCTACAAACACAGCCCATTAGCATTCCATTCTTGTTCAGTATTTCTTATTCTTTAGTAAGTCTTATGGTTAGTTTTCTCTATATTTCATTTCTACAGAGTGGCCCTGTGATGGTTTGCGGGAATGACCTTGGGAGAGGAGAGGAAGAGCTGTAGATTAGAAAACAGATAGCTAAGAGGCAGCTGAGCTAACAGATATATAGTAGTCCTCGACTTACAACCGTTTGTTTAGTGACCATTCAAAATTACAACGATGCTGAAAAAAGTGACCTATGCCCTTTTTCATTGCAGCATCTTCAGGGTCACGAGATCAAAATCCAGACGCTTGGCAACTGACTCATATTTATGACGGTTGCAATGTGCCAGGTCATGTGATCACCTTTTACGACCTTTTGACAAGCAAAGTCGATGGGGAATCCAGATTCCATTAACAATTGTGTTACTAACTCAACGACTGCAGTAATTTACTTAAACGCTGTGAAAAAGAAAAGTCATAAATTGGGGCGAAACTCACTTAACAACGGTCTCACTTAGCAACAGAAATCTTGGGCTCGATTGTGGTCGTACGTCGAGGACTACCTGTAATGGGAGTGCAGCTAAGGTCTCAGAAGTTTCTTGGATTGTGAAGGAGAGGGGGGGGGGAGAAATGTACTTATTTCAGACTTGCAAGATTCTGTTAATGTATCCTTACAATAAGGACACAGCCGGTGCTCCTGGGTGTGCTTCTTAATGGGCCACCTCTCAAGGCTAAGAGGCATTAAGGACTGGAGTTGCTTGGCAAGGTGTCTTTGTGGGAGGCAGCAAATTTAGTGACTTTTTAAAGTGCCATTTGGTCACACAAGGTTGTTTAGCAGGCTATGTGTGACCTTCAACCCATGTGTTGTGCCGGCCTTCTCTATAGGACAGTGGTGGCGAACCTACGGGACGGGTGCCAGAGGCGGCACTCAGAGCCATCTCTGTGGGCACGTGCACCATCACCCCAGCCCCGTCTCCCGTCGCAGCCCCCTCCTCACCAGCAGCTCCCCTGGAGGAGAGTCGCCCCCCAGCGTAGCCTGCGCGGAGCAGTGCAGCCAAGGACATGGCAGCCAGGCAGCGGGAACAAGACTCTACCCTCATGTCTCGTCGCACGCAGTTGATGCTGTGGGGCACGGGTGGAGGGCATGGCCGCCATAGTGCTGCTGGACCGCCTGGGCGATCGGTGGGCCGTGGAGACAATGAGTGGCCCCACGGGCGGGGGGCAGGGGCAGACGGGGGGCAGTTGGGGGGCAGGGGTGGGGCCGGTTTTTGGGCACTCAGTCTCTAAAAGGTTCGCCATCACTGCTATAGGATGGCAATTGTGCAAAAAACTGTTGAAGAAGGAGCAAAACTCTTCCAATCACACTATGTCTCTTTTCTAAATGGAACAATTCACTAAGTCGTTAAAACAAAACTCCAGATCAATAAAGAAAGCAGATAACATGAGTTAAAATCAGGACTGCAAGCATTAATTGGTTTAATCGACAACTGAAATTCGGGTGAATTTAAAGGTGTCAACTGTCAGTCTTGACAAAAGGTCTCCAACAATTAATCAAGAAAGCTAAGAGTCGATTTGTTCCGACCTGATTTTAGTTGTTATACAACAATTAACAGGAAGTGAAAACAAAAATACTGAAAGGGCCCCTAACATTTAGCAAACGTGGACGTTTCATTTCTTATATTGCAGTATGCCAAAAAAGCATTGTTTGGGTAGGAAGAAACTTATTTAAATTTAGAATGGATTATAATGGATTTCTAAATCTATATTAAAACATCCTTTAAAAAATCGATTAAACTTCACTTTTTGAAACAATAACAGAAGCAATGAAAAATGTCACCTGAACTTTTTTTTTAATTGACAAATACTTTTCTTCTCAAGGTGAATACAGTGTGACTTGCATGGCAATTTGCCTTACGGTAAAACTCTCAATTTTAAGGATTGTTTGGAAGGAGGGACGGCCTATTACTAAGAAAGGTCAGTTAAATCTGAAAGATGCAGAGAAATTGTCCATTACTGGTAGTGATGTGCAAACATTTTGTCTGTTCCAACTGGACTGGCTAAATGGGGATCTATCAAGGCTTGTATGGATATGTGCTGTGCTTATATATGTATGCAAACAATACTTTACAGATAGTCCTTGATTTATGAGCACAGTTGGGACCTGGATTTCCATTGCTAAGAAAAGGAGTTGTTAAGTGAGTCGCACCCAGTGTTATGACCTTCTTTGCCATGGTTGTTAAGCGAATCACTGCGGTTGTTAAGTGAATCATGCAGTCATTAAGCAAATCTGGCTTTATAATAATAATAATAATAAAAAAGTTGGAAGGGACCTTGGAGGTCATCTAGTCCAACCCCCTGCTCAGGCAGGAAACCCTATACCATTTCAGACAAATGGCTGTCCAGTCTCTTCTTAAAAACTTCCAGTGTTGGAGCATTCACCGCTTCTGGAGGCAAGTTGTTCCACTGGTTAATTGTTCTAACTGTCAGGAAGTTTCTCCTTAGTTCTAGGTTGCTTCTCTCCTTGCTTAGTTTCCACCCGTTGCTTCTTGTCCTGCCTTCAGGTGCTTTGGAGAATAGCTTGACTCCCTCTTCTTTGTGGCAGCCCCTGAGATACTGGAACACTGCTATCATGTCTCCCCTCGTCCTTCTCTTCTTAAACTAGACATACCCAATTCCAGCAACCGTTCCTTATATGTTTTAGCCTCCTGTCCCCTAATCATCTTTGTTGCTCTTCTCTGTACTCTTTCTAGAGTCTCAACATCTTTTTTACATCGTGGTGACCAAAACTGGATGCAGTATTCCAAGTGTGGCCTTACCAAGGCATTGTAAAGTGGTATTAATACTTCACGTGATCTTGATTCTATCCCTCTGTTAATGCAGCCTAACATTGTGTTGGCGTTTTTGGCCTTCCCCATTGACTTTGTCAGAAGCCAGCTGAGAATGACCCTGAGCCATTGCGACCATCATAAATATAAGCAGGTTGCCAAGCACCCAAAGTCTGATCACATGACCATGGGGATGCTGTGATGGTCGTAAGTGCAGGACCACTCATAAGATACATTTTTCAGTGCCATTGTAACTTCAACGAACTGTGAAACAAATAGTTGTAAGACGAGGACTACCAGTACAAACACAAATACAGATAGTCCTCAGCTTACAACAGTTCATTTAGTGACTGTTTGAAGTTACAACGGCACTAAAAGAAGGGACATATGACCGTTTTTCGCACTTATGGCCATTGCAGCATCCCCGTGGTCACATGATCAAAACTAAGACTCTTGGCAACTGGCTCATATTTATGACAGTTGTAGCGTTCCAGAGTTATGTGATTCCCCTTTTGCGATCTTCTTACAAGCAAAGTCAATGGGGAAGCCAGATTCGCTTAACCACCATGTTTACTAACTTAACTGCATTGATTCACTTAACAACTGTGGCAAGAAATAAAATGTGGCAAAATTCACGTAACAACTGTCTCACTTAGGAAAAGAAATTTTGGGCTCAACTGTGGTCGTAAGTCGATATGGACACACATACGTACAAAACCAGCTTTTGTGCATTTATTGCCAAAATATGCATTATTGGGTGTGTCACGTTCATCAGAAGAAATTAGAAAATAAAATCTTCCTGCATTGGCGGGATAATCCAGTCACAGGCAGACATGTATAAAATTTGTGAAGTCCATAAAGGGCAATGAAACAACAACGGAGAGGTGGGAAAAGCGTTCTAATGTTAATCAGTTTTAAATTATAGATCTTAAGCAGACTGAACCCCCCCTCACCACTCATGTTTTCAGGGCAAACTCTCACATCCGGCAAGTGTTAAATATGGAGAGCTGTGGAAATATGAGATTTTTTTTATTCTTACTGCCCTGTTCGCAACAATGAGACACCAACCTGGATTGCTTAGGGCAGGGGCAGGCAACCTTGGCTCTTTTATGACTCGTGGACTTCAACTCCCAGAATTCCTGAGCCAGCCATGCTGAGGGGAAAGGGAGAGGTTTCCAAGCTGAGCCATGTTGGCTCAGGAATTCTGGGAGTTGAAGTCCACGAGTCATAAAAGAGCCAAGGTTGCCTAACCCTGCCCTAGGCCTAGGCCGCTTTATGACTCGTGGACTTCAACTCCCAGAATTCCTGAGCCAGCCATGCTGAGGGGAAAGGGAGAGGTTTCCAAACTGAGCTATGCTGGCTCAGGAATTCTGGGAGTTGGAGTCCACGAGTCATAAAAGAGCCAAGGTTGCCTACTCCTGGTCTAGGAGGCTCACCGCTTAGAACAGGAGGACTTAGGACAGGGGTAGGAAACCTTAGCTCCTTTCATTACTCGTGGACTTCAACTTCCAGAATTCCTGAGCCAGCATGGCTCAGCTTGGAAACCTCTCCCTTTCCCCTCAGCATGGCTGGCTCAGGAATTCTGGGAGTTGAAGTCCACGAGTCATAAAAGAACCAAGGTTGCCTACCCCTGGCTTAGGGAAGTGTTTCTCAACCCTGGCAACTTTCAGATGGGTAGACTTCAACTCCCAGAATTCCCCAGCCAGCATGGCATGGTTGACTCAGGAATTCTGGGAGTTGAAGTCCACCCATCTTAAAGTTGCCAGGGTTGAGAAACACTGGCTTAGGGGCAATAGGAGACAGTTAGCGGGGACGTGCATGGAAAGTGGCTCTTGGTTACTCACTGTTGCCACAATCCTTTTGACAGCAGCAGCAGATAATTCTTCTCCTTTGGGCTGCTCGACCAACGTCACGCCCAGGTACTTCAGGTTGAAGAGCATCCCCTCCAGCAAAGTCTCTCGGGTGTCCGTCCAGTTTTCAGGGAGCTCTATAAAATTAAAAGAACTTTTATTATCACCAAGACAACTTGGAATGGCTTTTTGGAAGAACGGAACTGTTGCACAGGAGCTCTGGCATTTCCTTGCTAGCCAGGAATAGCCAAACCCAATTTGTGTGGAAATGTCTGCAACCCTTGTTCCTTTAGCGCAGGGAGTCCTTGACTTGCAACCATTCATTCAGCAACTGTTCAAAGTTACAACGGCACTGGAAAAAGGGACTTATGACCAGTGGTGGGATTCAAATACCTGAAGAACCGGTTCTCTGCATGGATGCAGGCCTGGGCTTAGAATGGACTTCTGGAAGTGACATCCGTGCACTTCCTGTGGGCCGTTCTAGGCCTGGGAGGTCTCCTCCAGGCCTCCCAGGCCTAGAACAGCCCACAGGAAGCAGCGTGGGTTCATCCGGTTCTCCGAACTCAACAAAAATTAGCTACTGGTTCTGCCGAACCGGTGAGAACTGGCTGAATCCCACCACTGCTTATGACTGTTTTTCACACTTGCAACCATTGCAGCATCCCCATGGTCACGTGATCAGAATTCGGATGCTCGGCCACTGGTTCATGATGGTTGCAGTGTCCTGGGGGGGGGGGTCACGTGATCACCTTTTGTGATCTTCCGACAAGCAAAGTCAATGGAGAAGCCAGATTCACTTAGCAACCATGTTGCTAACTCAACTGCAGTGACTCACTTAACAACTGTGGCAAGAAAGGTTGTAAAATGGGACAAAACTCACTTAACAATTGTACTTGTATTCTTTTACCGGGTATTACTTTACTTCCCCTTTGTTACTATAAAATGCATTATGGGTAATTTGGTTTGCTCATAAAAGAATGGCTTTTCCTTAGAAACAGTGGCTGCTGTCAGTGTGGATGCCATTCCCAGGGCTTCTAGAGCAGGCATGTCAAACTCGTGACGTCACGTGACGTCATGCAACGTATTGGAGCTTTCTCTCCATTGCCGGCAATGGGATGGGCACGGTTTTGGGATGACACGTCCGGCCCACGGGCCGGCAGTTTGACACCCCTGTTCTAGAGGAAGACAGAGAGGCACACACCCCTAGAACAGGGGTAGGCAACCTTGGCTCTTTTATGACTCGTGGACTTCAACTCCCAGAATTCCTGAGCCAGCCATGGCTCAGCTTGGAAACCTCTCCCTTTCCCCTCACCATGGCTGGCTCAGGAATTCTGGGAGTTGAAGTCCACGAGTCATAAAAGAGCCAAGGTTGCCTACCTCTGGCTTAGACCTAGGCCGCTTTATGACTCGTGACTTCAACTCCCAGAATTCCTGAGCCAGCATGGCTCAGCTTGGAAACCTCTCCCTTTCCCCTCACCATGGCTGGCTCAGGAATTCTGGGAGTTGAAGTCCACGAGTCATAAAAGAGCCAAGGTTGCCTACCCCTGGACTAGAACAAAAGTCAATCAAAGAAAGCACACAAACCCTTTGACTAAGGAAGGAACATATTGTTTCTCATGTGCCACTGCATCGTGACACATTAACTTAAGTCCAATGGCCAGTTTTTGACTTTGCTGAACAATTCAACAGAAACTGACCTACGGCAGGACAGCATCCGAGAAGACTCATTTCTACAAAATGCTTTAGCACAGTGGTTCTCAACCTGTGGTCTGTGGACACAGGGGGTCTGCGAAGGCTTGAAGAAACGTTGAGTTAAGTCTTGGTGGTCCATGGTCATGGACCATGGCCACAAAAGGTATTTAAAGGGGATCCATGGTGAAGAAAAGGTTGAGGGCCACTGCTTTAGCAAACTCAGAAAGATTTATTCAGTGCCTTCCCTTATCATACAAAGTGGCTGCAGACTCGCTGGAGTGAACAGACAGTGAGGCAGAAGAGGAGGACCTCACTGTGGTTTCAAGAGGGGACAAGCCACCAGACATACTTACAACCATGAGGTTGCAGAGATGGACAATGAAATGAAATGGAATGCAACCCAATGGAACACGTTCCTGCTTTAGATGGCAGCATCCATTTTTCTTCTTTGCCCTCTCATCAATTACAGTTTTCATGTCAATTAGAAGAGAATATATGTAGCCCAGAGTTGAACTGTGGGGACCTTGATACTCTCTGAGCTTGTTTGCTTTCTTGCAGATGTTGTATCACCAAACTAGGTAACATCATCAATGCTAGAAGGGAGTGGGTTCTGCTCTTATTTTTATACCCTAATGGCCTGCCCTGTCAGTGTTGGTGGGAGTGTCCTTGGTGGTTCCTCGATTAGCTGTCATTTACTGTTAGCATGTTTGTCTGAGTTGGTAGTTCCTCAATTGGGGTACAGTTTGACTGTTGATCTAGTGTTAATCTTGGTGTAAATCTCTGTTCATATGGGCGCTGACTGCTGGTGAGAAGGTATTTTGGTCTTTTGCTTCCTTTGGGTTTTGTGGTTATCTCTTTTGAGTGGTGGGTAAATATTGTTTACCTCTATGTGCCTGGTGATGGCTATAATCATATCCTGCTAGGTTAAGTAGATCTGAGTACGTATGACTCTTGGCTTAACGTGAAGCAGTTTTTGAACTAATTTCAAAACCTTTTTGCAACAGATCAGGTCAGATTCCCAGGAGGAGCTTCTCCTAGAGATCTGCTGCTTGGAAGGGAAAGAGAAAAAGTGTTAAAAGTAAATTAAAGAAAGGGCGTTAACATGCTTTTGGCTCTGCCTCATCTGTCACTCTCAGTCTGCAACTGACAACACCACACCCTTTAAGCAATACCACCCTTGGGCAGGAAAATAAAAGCTTGACCATGCCGATGTGAAAAGTCCTTTGATATTATGGCACAATATAGCTTGGGTTCACACAGTACTCTGGAGAAGATTAAAATGAGAACGGTTGGTTGTGGTATGGGAAGCCAGCCAATATTTTAATAAACTGTGGGAATCAGACCATCCTCTTACGCCACTGATTTGCCTGTAGGCTATATGAACACTATCTCTATGTTTCATTGAGGGCTCAGCATGCTGTATTGGCCCAGCTCATGGACGTAAATTGGCTGGGCTCTCTGCCCCCCAAACAGATCATCTGTGAATAAGTCCTGTTTAAATCAGTGAAATTTATTTTGGAGTAGACACCACCAAGGTTATTTTACATGGACACCCACGTGCAATGACTTTGTCATAACTCAAGGTGCAAATGTGCCTGACACAGAATCTGGCCCAGGGTCGCCCAGCTGGTTTTCATGGCTAAGGCAGGATTTGAACTCACAGTCCCTTGATTTCTAGCCTGGTGCCTTAACTACTAGATCAGGGGTAGGCAACCTTGGCTCTTTTATGACCCGTGGACTTCAACTCCCAGAATTCCTGAGCCAGCATGGCTGGCTCAGGAATTCTGGGAGTTGAAGTCCACGGGTCATAAAAGAGCCAAGGTTGCCCACCCCTGTACTAGACCAAAATGGCTCACTTCTGGTAGTCTCCAGATTGGGAAATGCTCCCTGTTTCCTACCAGTCCTTAACCTGACCTTCATACCAAAATAGCCTTCCTTAATCCAGACCCCTCCAGATGTGCCCAACTCTAAATCCTGTAATCCTCTGTCCACATTGACAGGGAGTTAAATGATGAGGTCGAGGAGCAGCCTCTATCTCCAGCAACTAGGATTAAACCTTGTCACATATATGGCCTACTAATCTTTTACAATGTGCTTGGTCTGCTTTCCCAATGCACTGGATGGGGCTATATAGTCCAGCATATTCTGAGTACAACAGGTTGGAGAAAACTGCCATTGACTAAAAGCTCGATGGCAGCAATTATAGACAACAGAAAAACCATTCTTTTCGCAGAGCTGTTAATTTTTCTCTCTCACACACACACAATGAATATCTGTACAGAAGAAAACTGCTCTGAACACAGGAATGCCGGACCAAAAGTCTCGCACAATGCAGGTATCAGTGTCCCTTTTCCCTGGAATTCGCCCACAACAGGCTACACAACTGCACTGACCAAAAATACAGGAGAGAGAGTAGAAATTAGTCTCTAATAAGGGGCTGAAATAAAAACAGATGACGATTCTCTTCTATGCTGCTATCAAGAATACCTGAGGGGATGCAGCCATGAAGTTGCCAGCAGTTGAGTTCAAACAAATTTATCTTTTAGCACAAATCTGAAAGGGGAAAAGACTCAGATGGATATTTTTACTTTTGTGAAAATCCTGGAAACAGATTCACCCTGTAAGCTTTCTATAGCAGGCCAAGGAGATGTAAGAGGTGTTTCCATAAATAGATATTTTTATTATAATCATTGACTAATAAAAATAAAGTAGCAAAGTATGCAAGGTAAAAAACAATTGAACAGTTTCAAAGGAAAAGATCAAGAAGATTGAAAAAGTTGAGAAGATTAAGAAGAAGAGAGTAATGGTGTAATGGTCAAGCTGCTGGTCTAAAAACCAGGAGACCGTGAGTTCTAGTTGCACCTTAGGCATGAAAGCTGGTTGAGTGACTTAGGGCCAGTCATTGTGTTCCCACAGGGTTGTTTCAGAGAAAATAGAAAGAGGAAGGAATATTTGTATATTTACTGCCTTGAGTTGTGCTTGAAAAAAGCAGGATAAAAATCTAAGAAAAAGTGACTATGATATCTTTATCCATTTTGTAAATAACCATTCTTCACACGACTGTTGCAGCATCGCCAAGGTCATAGGATCAAAATTCAGGCACTTGGCAAAGAATATGTATTTACGGTGGCTGCAACCTCCCAGGGTCATCTGACCACCATTTGCAATCTTCCCAAACAGTTTCTGACAAGCAAAGTCAAGGGGGGAAGCCAGATTTGCTTAAGAGCCATGTGATTCACTTAATGACTATGGTGATTTATCTGATGACTCACAAAATCAAGCAACACCAGCAAGTTTCTCACTTAGGAACAAAAGTTCCAGTCCAATTGTGGTTGTAATGGCCTATAGCAGGGGTCTTCAGACTTCGCCCTTTTATGACTTGTGGACTTCAACTCCCAGAATTCCTCAGCCAGGGCCAAGTTTGAAGACCCCTGATC